AGCTACAAATCATAAAATCAGCTTGGAAAACAGCAGGACTAAAATTTTATCTTGAAAGGTCTTTTCTTGGTTACAAAAGACTAAGAAGGTAAGCACCAGGTTTCATGCCAAAAAGGTCTTCTCCCCTTACATCAGAAGGCAGGGGAACTTACAGGAGCTCCCCATTAAAGATATCAATAAATATATTAATATTATTAACAATTAATTTTGTCATAGGTCATGAAGGTTTCTAGAAATTAAAACCAGCATTTTGAATTGATCTGATAAGACACTGGGAGTTAGTACAATTGGCTTGTAACAGGTGTAATATGTTCATAATATCCAGCCACAACTGGTAATAATCTAGCATCTGCATTCTGCACTATCTGTGATGTCTGAGCAGTATTCAAAGGCAAGCCCACACACAGTGCATTTATAGCAGTCTAACCTGAAGAGTATGGATTACTGAGGCCAGGCAAGATTGCTGCTTAAACTAGTAAAAGACACACCACAGAAGCTACTTGTGCTTCCAGTAAGAAAGATGAATCAAAGACCACTTCCCAACAGCAAAGCTCTTTCTTCAGGGGAAGTGAAATTTTGTCTAAGATGGGATTAACACCACTCTCTTCCGCACATGTCTGACCTGATCCAATTGTCATGTTGAAATCATAGTGATCTGAGTGATTTTAGCCTCTCAATGTTTTGTAAACATGCCATATCTGGCCTCCACAAAGTTTTCTTAATGTCACCAGATGGTCCAAATTGCAGCAGGCTCCAAACTCCTTGGAAAAGCTTTACTGGATGGCACTGAGCAAATGCAATGGATTGGTGAAATAACTGTTTCTTTGTTGACATCATTACCCAGTAGGCTCAATCATAAGTTCTAACGCCTCACTGGAATCATTGCAACTCTTTCACACAGGGCTGGCCTTACTATTACATGTACTAAAGTAGCCACATCAGGCAGTGGAGTGGGAGAAACCGTGAACTGCACCCCTCCCCTGCCCTCATCAGGAGGGCCTATCCCCACCACCCCGCCACCTCCAGCAGGTGATGTAGATAACCTGCCTACTACTTTCTCAGCCTAGCATTTGCTACAGTGGGAAGAGGGCTGGCACAGCTCTCTGGTGGAGCAGCAGCCAGTGGAAAGGTGCGCATCCCCCCACATCCATATAGGAGCTGTACATCTCATCAAAGTTTGGGGAAGTTCTTGTGAGCCATGCAGCTGGGGGGGGGGGGGGGGGGGGAGACAGCAGAGGAAAGACACAGCAGTGCCAGGCAGCACTGCATGTTCTTACCTCAGTGGCAAGATACCTTTGGCCATAGCTGCTTCCACACTTGCATTCCATCAATCTTTTTATTCACTGCATTGCCAGCATCTCCTCAGAATACCAAGGCTCAATAAAAGTACTGTTAGTAGTAGCAATAAGCATAATATCCTGTCTTAAATACAAGTCCATAAACTGATAGAATGTATTTATTTCATACTGCTTTTTCTCCAAGAAGGCATAGGACATGTTGTATAGTTTTACCCCCATTTTATCCCTCAAAAACCCTGTGGATGAGGTTACAGTGAAAAACAGTAGATACATTCATTATAACCTAGTGAAAGTACACTAGAAATATAACATATTGAAGAAGGAATACAGGGTTTAGGATGCTTCAGTTCCTACGGAGCACAGCACTGATAAACACTTGAGCAATCAAAACGCTGAGTAAGGATGCAAGTAAAATATTGTAACTTGTAATTTTTGAGAATCTAGGCCACATTTACGTAATCTGTGAGTCACCAAACCAAATACAGGCCATCAATCATATATACTAGCCCACCAAGTGTTCAGTAACCCTCTTGTGGTTGTTTTTGTTATCTAGCTTGGGCAGCAGAAACACCTGGCAGATGACAAAACATGGCTGGAAGGTTGTATTCAGCTTGGTAGGGCACAAATTAGCTCAGTGGAGCACTAATCTAGGGTAGTCATCTTGAAACAATGTCAGGAGGAAACTCTGCATTAGATTTATACCCAGACTGATCTACAGCATTTCTGTGTGCAGGTTAAGCATGTAGGTAGTCAATTTGATAATATCCAAACAACAACTAATTCCCATTTTAATAGACAGTTCCTGCCAACATGAATCTATGACACACATTAATTATTTTGAAATGAGCTGACTTTAGAAGCTAGACATTTCAAGAACTGGCAGACATCCATTACTGCTTTTTCCTTCAAGATACAACCCTAACCTTTATCGATGTAATTTTGACTGGCATTTTATTCAATAATACAGCTACAGGTATTGCCCTCAAGGGGAAGCTTTTTCATAATACCAAAAATGATAGTATAGGCTTGCATTTTAAGTGTTCTCCAAATTATGGTAACTGGCTAAAATGAATAGCATCCATCAAGTCCTGTCATGCTAAACTATAGTAATAGCACTGGCTATGATCATCACATTGTTGCTGGTTGTGCAGGTGGCATCATACTTTAGAAATGTTTCTGAAGTATGTAATACAAAGCTATCACATGAGTAAAGAAGGTATTCCTTAGGCAGAGCAATCTTACGATCCCCAGATGGTGTCCAGAGGGCCACAGAATCATTCCATGATCAAATAAGAATCAGCTTTGGAACTGTGAATCTACATTGGCTCCACCTTCCCCCTCCTGCCATAGCTGATGAGGAAAGAACCGTGTCAGTGGTGTCTCTGAGGTCAAAAGACTGACTTCTTAGATAGGATGAAGAGGACATTCTGGAGGTTGACGAGGGGAAGAGATCAGCACTCCATCCTCCTTCTTTCCCTGTCCAAAGCACTTCAACTAGTTATCTGAAATTACCTAGCAGATATGCAGGATGGGAGAAGCACAAAAGTGAAGATGGCTTCAAGAATGCCCATAATCATCTATGTCTGGAGCCTCATGGGCAACCAGACTTGGTTGGAGGGTGCTCCCAAATCTGTGGGTTATGATCAACGATGACTTTGCCTTAGCAGCAAACATCTACACTCACTTAAGCCAGCGCACTCATTTTTCACCAATCACCTACCACAGCCCTCTGTGACATATTCCATTCTGTTCCTGAGAACCACCCTTATAAACTGTTTTGTTGTTGTTGCTGTTGTTGTTTTTGCTTTTTGTGGGAGGATACAAAAGCTGTAACTTGGTATGGGGGAAATCTGCTGCCCTGACTTAAGTGAATGGGACTGCATTCCACTACTGCAAAAGCATCAGTGACTACAACTCTATATAGCAAAAAAATGTGAAAGGGAAAATGAGCAAAAAACTCACATACTCCTAGCTGACTTTCTGGTATAATAGCAGGAAAATTTCTGTGAGAATGTAGCCTCCAAATTTAAAATTCAACAACAAGGTATTTAGAGTGCCTGCAACATTTTAATAGACAGATGCTTTATAGTCACTTATTGAACAATTTGAAAAATCTAATCTGATAAATTTATCCCTGAAAAAACAAGCTGACCTTTATGTACCGGACAATAACATTAAAGGGAGTGTTTACATATTCATACACTAACAGCAAATCCTCTACCCTGAAAGCGTTTATCAGCAATTTCTTATAAGCTTAAATATACTACTCAGTTGGCAGTTTTCAAGAATTACAGACACTGGTTCTGGAAGTCTCAGTTGAATAGGTTATGTGCTATATGTCAATTCTCATCTATCTTTTTCACTTGCCACTCTCTTCTTATCCAGTTTTTTGAAAATCTGGATGATAAATAGCTCAAAATGGAATATAATCACAATTGTATTGTTTGCATCAAAAACAGCAGCATTTGTACCCTCGTACCATAATATGCAGTATACATTAACTGATTAGAACTGCACAGGAAAATTAAACACCAGGATGACAGACACACTGTCATGAATGAAAACTAAATCTTTCTACAGATGAAGTCAAAATTCTCATCAAACAATTCTTAATTACAGTATTAGATTCCATTTACTTAATTTTTACATAAAAATGAAAAACATAAGACCTCTACAGAGAAACATCAGTTCACTGGAGAGAAGAGGTTCAAAGATTCAGCTAAAGAGAATCCAGCATGCTATTAAAGAAAAATACCAACTATAAGAGTTGTATCCAGACTAAGTAATGAGTCATGACTAACTTAAGTGCCATTGTTTTCAATGAGTTTAGTCTAAGTATGGACCAAGTATGGAGCTGAGGATATGTCATAGCTACACATTCAGGAACAATTAATTTATTTGTAGTCTGATACTAGTTAATGTGTTCTCAGCTTATTTATCAGAAGGAGCCAAAAGTATTACCAGGCTTCTATGACACAAATCAGACAACCAGGATATATTTAAATACTTCTCATTATCTATACTGTTCTTTTTTGGAGGTGCAGGGTAGGTAATGCCATACTATTATGGTGTCAAAAAGAGCAACCTTAAAGCAAACACTTCCTTTTCAACTTTAGCCTGTAACTTGGACAAGGCAGGCTGACTTCAGTTACAGAATTCCCTACCAATAGCTTGTTTAAAAAGTCTTTTCACACTTTAAAGACTAACTTCATTCCAATAGCACATGCTTTAATGGACATACAATAAAATCCATCATGTTAATTCAGAAGTAACTCCCACTGTTCAGTGCAACTTATGTTCAGGTAAATGTACCCAGGATTGCAGCCTGAGATCTACTTTATCTGATCAAGATTTATTTTCAGTCAAATAGGAGACATATATAATTATATGCATACAGAGAGAGCAAAACTATAGACTATGGGCCAAAGGTTATGAGTTCCAGTAGGTACAGCCTGTAATACTTTTATACAAAGCTAAAACGTATACAAGATAAGCAGAGTGACCATTCACTACAGTATAATAAATCTGTTACTGTTTAAGAAACCTCAGCTCTCTTTGGTTTTGCTGCGACAGACTGATGTCATACTCCTCTGGCATATTTTATCAATGACCTACAGAGAAAAAAATTCAGGAAACTAGCTCCTATGCATCACAATTAGATTAGGTTAAAAGAACATGTTGATACAGTTAAAACTACATTACCTTTCTGGACGTGGATTATGTCTGGAAAATTGGCTAGATGTCCCTGATATAGAGCTAACAAATCCATCACTGGGTCCAGGTCTTGTCTGGGTTGCTCTGCAAAGAGTTCACCAATAGCATCATATGCTCCTCCAGTGAAGGCAATAGCCTGATTGAGGCCAACTGAAAAAGCCTGCTGGTCCATCTCAAAGGCTTGGCTGAGGCCTCTGAACGAGTGCCCCACTTTCTGGTACTCCTTCTTGAAGCCAGTGACCTGCTTGCGGGCAAACTCATTGACTGTCTGGTTCAGCTGAATGGTGCTCTCGTCCATCTTCTTGGTGAAGCTCTTGAAGCCATCCACCTTGCTTTCTACCTCCTGTAGGTCTAGAGCAGCAGGACCCCCAGTGGGCACACTAATGGTCAAAAAGAAGTTAGCACCCACCATCTCGTCCTTCTCGGCCTTGCGTTTGCCCTGCTTCCAGGCCTTCTCATCAGTGCTAGGGCAGGTCAAGAAATGCTTGAAGGCATCACACTGGGCCAACACTGGATGGCTACACATGTGGTCCATCCACCAGGCCAGGCCTTTGCGGCGCTTGGAGATAAAGTCCTCCTCAAATCGTCCCGTGGCCTGCTTCTCTGGCAAATGGGGCACTGAGATGACAGGAAACTTCTCCACCAGGCGCCCATAGAGCCAGTCAAAGTGCTTGTAGCGCCGGTGCACCTGCTGTCCAGTGTGACTTGGTACTAGCTTGTAGGCAATGTAACTCTTCATGCCTTTGAATTTAGTTTGTTTGGTGGGATCTTCAATGGAGCACTGGAAAGGGTAAGGGTTCTCCTGCCACTCAGGCCCATAGGTGCCCAGCACCACACACAGCTTGTCTCCATCCTTTACAAAACCGGATGCCTCACCTAGCACAAAGGCCTCACCTCCTGATTTCACAAAAGTGGAGAAGCGGTTCAAGTTTCGGCTCACCGTGGCGGAACTCTTGGCACCCCCTGCCGGGTGATGCAGGGGTCCGCCAGGCTGACTACCCCGGGAGCTCAGAGAAAGATCGGACCGGGTGGAAAGGCGGTACCTAGAAGGGCCACCCGTGCCACCTCCGCCTGCGTTCTCGTAGTCCGGGTAAGAGCTGCCCAAGACGCCCGGCTCGTCCGCCACGGTGGAGCTGTCGTCCCAGTCATCGTCCCAGTCGTCGTCGCTGCCTTGGCTGGTCTGATAAGAAGACACACTGTAAGAAGGCAGCGCTTGGAAGGAGGAGAAGACGGACGAAGTCGGCGGCGGCGGCAGCTGGAAAGGCTCGGCGACCGGTGGAGGGAGCTGTTGCTGGTGCTGCACCGGGGGAGGGTTGAAGGCGCTGGCCGGCGGGGCTACGGGCTCGAAGCCGCCGGACGGCACGTTCGCGTAGCGGGCCGGGTTGGGCACGGGCAGCGGCGGCGGCGGCTCGGCGGCTGGCGCTCGGATGACCTGCACGTAGGAGGCCGGGAAGAGGCCGCGGTCGCCGCGGCTGTTGACCCCCTCGAGCCAGCCCTCGATCTCCTGCTCGCTGCACAGGCTCAGCACCTCGTGTTCCCGCAGGGAGATCTCGCCCGGGTTCTCCGACTTGAAGTCGTAGAGCGCCCGGGCCCGCAGCAGCGCCATGGCCCCGCTGCCGCCGCCGCCGCCGCCCAGCCAAGGGATGGGGACGGGGACGCGGACGGGCCGCCCCACCGCCGAGCCGCCAACCAAGCGCAGCTTGCACTCCACCCGGCTGTCCTCCCCGCCCACTTGAGCGGCGGCAGCGCACGCCTCGGCGAACAAACGGGCGGACTCCCCTCCCGGCGCCGGTGGTGGCAGCAAAGCAGCCGCTCCTTCGCTTCGCTCTGTCCGGACCCTTTTATTCTCCTCGCACAATTCACTCCGTTCCCTTTCTCTCCTCGCACAATTCACCGCTGCGCCTGGCAAAGCTCCGTCTTTCTCTTCAGCAGGTACCGCAGCTCCGCAGCGACTGGAGGGACACACCAGCGCGGGCGCTGCCGGCAACGGCAACAGTGCGAGTCCCCGCTTCACCCCGTCTGTGTCGGCTGGCTGGAGGGGTGTGAGTGCGCGCGCGCGCGCGCGTGTGCATGTGCTTGCGCGCGCGCGCGCGCGTGCAAGAGGCTAGGCCGGGGGACTGTCCCACGTCGCCAGTTTCGCTAATCCAGAGCCGAGAGGCAGGGCTGGGAAGCCGAGCACAGAGCTGCCGCCCCTATCGATGGGCGCGCCAGAGGCCTGTTTCCCTGCGTCGTCTGCCCCGGCTGCCCTCTGGCGTTCGCCTCGGGAAGAACGCGAAGGCGGGAGGCGGCTCGGAGAACAGCAGCCGCCCCGACCCTGGACTTAGCACACTAGACGGGTAAACGGCCACCCAAACAGAGGTTGGGAACACGGTTCTACTTATTTCCGTGTAATCACGACTTGGATTGACCACACCGGCTTAATTCAGAACGCTTGGTCTGGGAAGTGAAGTCCCACTAAACGTAATAGGGGTTACTTTCCACGTAAAGCTCATAGGATCAGGCCAAGCAACTTTATTAGTCCTCTTATACATGCAGATCTTCATTTGAACACACATGAAAGTCTCTTATGTACTTAATTCACGTGCCCCGCGCCCACACTTAGTGTCTTGCAAAGTACATTATGAATTTACGGGTTATTTCGATTCCGACATGCTTGAAGTTCCTTGTGCATTATTTTTTAAAGCTGCATACTACTTTAAAAACATTTGCCAGGTGATTTCCTGACAGATACCCGTATAAAATTATATATCTGTATAAAATTATAACAAAATAATACAATCAAAACACTAGGGGCAATAAAAGAGGAGGGATAAATACCCATGCCTTTATATTATTATCTAGTTGTTATTTTATTGTGTGCCACTTGGTGTGAAAGGCTGGTTAGATATTATTTTAATAATTGTTTAATCAGTTAAAGATTATTATTTGTTTATGGTTTTGCAAACCTTTTGAGAGAGATGGTTTATTATTATTGCATTCATACCTTGCTTGCAAGAAGGCTAAAGCACCTTAAATGATTCTTCTCTGCATTTAATGCTCACATCAACAGCCACATGTGGTAGGTTAGCCTGATGGCCTGAGAGGCAATGAGCAGCCCAAAGTCACCAGGGAGCTTCAAGGCTGAGTGGGACTAGAGCCCAAATCTTCCAAACCCCTGACCAGAAGTTTAAATCACACCGTATCAGCTCTCATTTAGGGAACCAGGAGAGTATCTTGAAGTGGGATGGGAGTTCTATAATTTAGGCACTGCTTCTGACAAAAAAAGACTTCTGTAACCATGAAGCGCACATAAGATGGCATAAAACCTCTGAACATCCTGTAGGTGATTGGGCAGATTCATGTGGGACAAGATGGTCCTTAAAATAAGACTTTGCTGTAGTTCCAAAGGCCTTTTGAGGTCAAAGGTTGCCATTAAATTGGGTATGAAAAACAACTGTCAACCAATGAAGTTGTTACAAAAATGGAGTGTTATGCTCTAGGTAGCCTCTTCCGGTTACGCTGCTGTGTTCTGAACTTGTTTTCTCTGCCATGGAGAAGGTTCAGGTGGCACTTTCATAAAAGAATGCTATTTGGACATTCAGGAACAGGATAGTATTCAGGACAACCTCCAAACACTACAAACTGGAGCCTTACGTGGGAGGACAACACCATCCAAAACAGATTGCGAGCTAGATCAGGTGATTTTCCATAGTAACACCTTCAGTTTATTGCACCCAGTCTATTGCTAATCCTAAACCATTCAGGACTCCAAATGACAAACCCAAGCCTGATGGCAAGGAAAAATAGAGCCCCAAGACCTGCATTGTATGAGAAGGACCTTCCACAAGAGGAAGGTCTCCACTTGCCAAAGAGCCCACGCACCACAGCTCACCCTGTTCAGCAGGGTCACAATAATAGCAATTAGAGTAATAAATTAGAATTACAAAATATATGAGTTATTCACCATTTCTGTTTCGTGATTCTGAACAATTACTTTAGAAGTTCAAGTTCCCAGTAAAAGTGTTTAAACTTTTACCATGCTACATAAGGCTATGGCAGCCGTGCTAGTACTGAAATTGTAAGCCTGTTTCTTTTCAGTTCCAGGATGACAAAAAGAAACATCCTGTCAAAAAATATTTGCATTATTGTGTTGTATTAAGTAATTGTCACTAAAATTACTTACAGCTGGTTTATAGCTTGACAGAACCCAAACATCATGGGGCAATAGGTCCCCTCCCACTAGCATACAATAATTCTGTGTCACACATAGCATCTCATGAATCAGGTAACAAAACTATTTTAATTATGAAACTTGCTACATTTCTGAAATTACATCATAATCTACATTTGGGACTTTTGATCATGCCCCCCCCCTTGTAATTTTCATTTAAGGTAACATTCATCCTGAAAAGGGGTCCTAGAAATCTTGCTGACTATTTTGTAATTTTTTTATTTGGTTCTAATACAGGTATTTTCCTGCCATTTTTTATTCCAGTAGGCCAACACAGCTACAAATATGTTATAAATAGACCATTTAACTTTAAACATTTGTTTTTCTGGACATTTACATTGTAAAATCATGAATTCACTCTCCAGGGTTTATATATCTAACAAGTTTGCACTCAACAAATGCAATTTGCTTTTTTAGTTCCTTTAAATCAATCTACATACATTTCCAGCTGCTCAATTTGTGTTTACAGTTAGGCATTGCAGTATGGTGTGTGTGTATGTATTAGAGATTTAATAATACTAATGTTTATATACTGCCTTACCTGCTTAAAAAAACCAAGATAGCACAACAACTTAAATACAGTAAAACATAAAATACAAACATCAAAATGATTAAAAGACTAAAACAGTATATTAAAACATATCAATAAAAAGTGGCCTGTCACCCAAGGAGGGGCTTTTCCAGCAAAAATATTTTTAGGAACCACCAGAAACAATATAGCGTTAATGTCTTCCTGGGTACTAGGAAGTTCCACCGAAGTGAAGCTGCCACATTGAAGGCTTTTCAGATGGATATCAAACAGGATATAAGGTACATGCAGAACCACCAGAAGCATGCCATCTGATGACCCCAGTGGCTGAGTAGACAAGAAGGAGCACTCTCAAATAACCTCATTCAAGCTGTTTAGAGCTTATACACAACTAACAAAACTTCACACCTTGCTTGGTGAACAGGAGCCAGTGCAGTTCCCTTAGCAAAGGATTTGCAGGCTGGAAAGGGCAACTGCTGACAACAGCCAAACTAAATCTAGCTTCTGGCCCAGTTTTCAAGGCAACCCCACACAGAACACATTGCAACCATCTGGTTCTGAAGTTCCTAGTATCTACCACTGTGGTTGACCTTTCCCTGCCAAGGAAAGGCAATAGCTGGTGATCCAGGCAAAGGTGGTAAAAGGCATGCTGGACCACCAGATTATTGAATGTAATATTTCAAATCCGATCCTGAACAGGTAATGAGTCATTTCCCACACTCAAGAACCCTCCCCCCTATATACACACAAACATCATGCCAGGATTTAACTTCAGTTTATTGGCCTTCATCCAATGCATCACTGTTTTCCAGGACTTGCACAGCCACACTTGATTCAGATGTCACAGGGAACTAGAGCTGTTTGTCATCAGCCTACTGATGGCACGTGGCTCTATAATCCCTAATGGCCACTCCTAGTCACTTCATACAGATGTTGAACAACACTGGGAACAACATAGTACATCCCCCCCATGAAATCGCATAGCTCCCTTGCCAAGGGGCTGAGGAATAGGCACTCAATATCATTCTTTGAAATTGACCTCGCAGAAAGACTTCAACAACTTTAACACAGTACTTTCAAAGCCCCAGCCCATGGAGTTGATCCAGGAGAATACCATGGTTGATGCTATTAAAAGTCAAAGAGAGATCAAACCAAATTAATGTTGCTCAAGCAGAATTAACAGGGTGCGATCCTATGGATTACAATTAGACACATTCCTAGGGATTGTTGTGTTGACCACCAGAGGGCTCCAAGAGCGAGGCTCTTTGTCCAAAGCCCTGCTGACAAAAGCCAGGCAGGGCAGGAGGGGGATGGAAGCTTTTACAGCCTCCCATCCTTCTGATTTTGTTATTCTGAACCGGATGGGATACTTGGTATGTATACCTTCCCTAACTTCCCATGGGCTGGAACAAGTGAGGCTTCTAGATTTTATTAATTCTTCTGCTTCCTTCTGTCTTCTTTATTGTCCAGAAAACAATTTCCACCTTCCCTGACCTTTCCTGAGGTAGCTGTTACAACCTCAGAAAGAGGGCTACCACTGAGCTTTCTTCAGCAGCTGGGAACACAAACATTCAGCTCTGGAGAAGGGGGAAAGGTAGGTGATTGGAAAAATCCATTGCATTCCCATAAGTCAGCCCTTGACTTTAGTCATAGCAACAGTTTTGTGAAGAAGAAAGCTTACAGTGCAATCTTATGTATGTGTTGATAGAAAAATGTCTTACAACTCCCAGCATTTCCCAGCCATGTATGCATGCAGAAGTAAACATGCATAGGATTGTGCTTGGGAGGAATGAACTGGTCCCTAGCCATTATGGGGAAGCCATATGATACTTTGGATTCTCAGATCTGAGGCTGGAAACAGAACTCCATCCTCAGAGCTGCATTCCGAACTCCCTCCCCTACATACAGCTGGTGCAAAGACAGCCCATGCTGGCTCTCTCTCTAAGATCAGACCTTGGAAAGCAGGTAAAGGGTGCATTCTAGTGGGTGGAGAGGGAGGAGACTGCAAAAACTATGATGGATCATGTGTCCTCTGCACCTTCCTTCCCATCCTTCCCAAGGAACCCAGCTATAAGGCTGAAAATGGCCGTCAAGTGAAAATGCAGAGGGGAAAGAATGGGGAGGGAGTAGATTGTCTCTGCCAAATGTTCCTGCTCTGACTAGGAAGCTTGTAAGCCTGTATGCTCATAAGCTTAAGGACATCTCAACTGGATTGCACCTACGGGTTTCTGCATATATAGTCATACCAAGACCTCTCTCCTTTCTAGAATCAGATGACTGAAAGCGCGTCATCTCCCTACTTCTACAAGCATTACCTCCCAAAGCCCAAAAGGAGACATTGCCAGGATTCCTCACTTTCTCCTCCTCCCAAGCAAAACACAAGCTTGCTTTTGTGTGTGGGAATTGTTCTTATGTAGTTAGTCACTGGGTGTATTCTCAAGTAGCTCTGATAACTCGTTTATCTCATCATAGTAACAAATACTTTTCTGAGAGAACTCTTTGCAGATGTTCCACTACCTTTCTTCTGAAAGCAATGCATAGCACATTTCCCCCTTTGTTTTCTGGAAAGAATAATGTAATGGAAACAAATGGTAAAACTGTGAGGTCCTTTTCATACTGCAGCTATGATTAACTTCCCATAGTAGTGCATTATGCCTTACTGCAGTCCTTGAATTTTCAAAGGCAGTGCATGTAAATGTTGGCAATTATTTGCAGTGTAGATAACACTAAGTTACCCTTAACTACCAGAAAGGTGATAATTCAGTTTGCTTAATTGAACAAGGAGGAGACTCTTATGCCTTTAATAGGTGGAGGGAATACTGCTACCTGTAGGTCATTTTTGCTGATCATTGAAATATTACTGTGATGGGAAAAACAACAGTTAGAGAAGTCTCGTGCTGTAGTGAATATGCAGAGCAAATGTTTACATAAGAACTTCCCAATTTTTGTAGTTTAATGCTTACCTATAAACTAGAATTATAGGGGGGAAACTACAGGGATCAGAAACAAGTGCAGCACCGAACCACTTTCAACCCGAGACAAATTCAATCTGGGAGAAGCTCTTGGGGTTCACATTCTAGTGGCTGGGGCACAAAAGCAAAATGAGCAGGGCTGACCCACCTTCTCAGTGACAGCTCATTTTATCTTGAAATTATTAGTGCCAGCCTATTTTACTTTGCTCATTCAAAAAGGCATTTCAACCTTTTTAGAAAATGGGAAAATGGTGACAAGGCTGGAAATCCCTAGAAAGCTCCAACCTCTGCACTTCTCAGCTGAGCAACTTGCTTTGCGTATGTTGTCTGTATGTATTAAGACAGTTTTCCTTACTGTTGCCTCACTTTGGAAACCTGTGCTAGGCTTGGACTTTGCACCTACTATTATGCCTTGAATCTGGGCTGCTCTCTAACTTGGACTGTGCTTCAATCACAGGTTCCTCCAGTTGTCTCCAGTTGTCTGATCTCCAGTTGTCTGCTCAAAAATCAGGCCGCTTATGATTATACACCAACCTGTAGCCCAGGGGTCCTCAAACTTTTCTGCCAGGGCTCCAGTTGAAAGCTGCCGGTGCTGGGCGCGGGCCGGAAAGGTGGTGCTGGTGGTGTGTGCGGGCCGGCATGGGGGCAGGGGCAGCATGTGTGGGCACGTGTGCTGAGGCAAGGGCAGGGGGTGCAGCGAGGGGAGGCGAGGCGGAGGCGGGCACCCACTTCGAGGCATGGGCATGGCAGGCAGGCTCCGGCTCCCGGGCTGTAGTTTGAGGACCCATGTTCTAGCCCCTTAGTCTTACCTTTTAGGGTCAAGCATCATATTCCTTAGCCCATTACACATACAAGGATCGCACCCAATACATAAAAAGAAGACTTCCTACTCAGATTCTGAGATGACTACAGGCATACCATGGCTGCTGGTGCTCCCTTGGGCTGGCAAGGTGGAGAAAAGATCACTAGAGGCAGTGCCAGGGATCACCAGAGGGACAACAGAGCACTCTTTTGAATCTTGAACAGCGTATGGCAGGAACTGCAGAGAGAAGCCCCTACAAACATTTTTTTAAAGTAATAACAAAATTCCTAAAGGAGTTTAAAATACATTCCCTCCTCCACCAAGCGAGTACTCTAAAACTCTCCTTCCTTCCCTCTTTGTCATATGAACTGGTGTCTGTCTGCTGAACTGAAAATTTCACTCCCCACTCACCACACAAACACGTGCGCATGTGCGACAATCAGATGCACACATGCGCAAACAGTCTTTCTCTACTGATTGTTGTTGTTAGTTGTTGAAGTCGTGTCCGACCCATCGCGACCCCATGGACAACATTCCTCCAGGCCTTCCTGTCCTCCACCATCCCCCAGAGTCCACCCAAGCTTACACCAGCTGCTTCAGTGACTCCATCTAGCCACCTCATTCTCTGCCGTCCCCTTCTTCTTTTGCCATCCATTGTGCCCAGCATTAGGCTCTTCTCCAGGGAGTCCTTCCTTCTCATTAGGTGGCCAAAGTATTTGAGTTCCATCTTCAGGATCTGGCCTTCTAAAGAGCAGTCAGGGTTGATCTCCTCTAGGACTGACCGGTTTGATTGCCTTGCGGTCCAAGTGACTCGCAGGAGTCTCCTCCAGCACCACAACTCAAAGGCCTCAATCCTTCGATACTCAGCGTTCCTTATGGTTCAGCTTTCACAGTCATACATTGCAACTGGGAAAACCATAACCTTGACTATACGCACTTTTGTTGGCAGGGTGATGTCTCTCCTTTTTAGTTTGCTGCCTAGATTTGCCATTGCTCTTCTCCCCAGGAGCAAGCATCTTTTAATTTCTTGGCTGCAGTCCCCATCTGCGGTGATCTTGGAGCAGAGGAAAATAAAATCTGTCACTACCTCCATTTCTTCCCCATCTATTTGCCAGGAAGTGAGAGGACCGGATGCCATGATCTTAGTTTTCTTAATTTTGAGTTTCAGGCCAACTTTTGCACTCTCCTCCTTCACCTGCATCAAGAGGCTCTTTAGTTCCACTTCACTTTCTGCCATAAGAGTGATATCATCTGCATATCTGAGGCTGTTGATATTTCTCCCAGCAATCTTAATTCCAACTGGTGATTCATCTAGCCCCACCTTTCTCAT